GATGAGTGTACTATTTAAATATTTACCTCTGTTAACATTAATGAAGGTATAAAGTTGCACTTAATTTTTCAAAGGATGCCGCAGTATGATTTTAGGAAATAAATCACAGCTATGTATAGAGCTAGTTACAAGTTGAATATCAAGTTGATAAACTTTTGTTTGTATTTTTACAGTCCATAAATGGGAGTTAAAATGTCTTTTCACTAAATATTTTTGTTACATTTTTGTTTTGACCATGTGTGATTTGTTCGTGGGTATATAGCTAGACTATTTTATGAAACTTTTTGAAATGGTGCTAGTTCATTTCCTATTATAGGATGATTGACACTCGGGGACATTACACAGTCCTGAAATCATTTTAAATTAAAAAAGACATCTATACAGGTAAATATCAAGATTTGCATTACCTTCTGGGATAACCCTAAACCCTCATAGAATACCCAGTATTCAGAAAGACTACGAATTTTGTTTATATTCTGTAATGTTTGTCTCAGCCCATAGTCTTAGAAACAATTTCAGTGTTATTAGTTAAATCATTAGATTCAGTGCATATTTGCAGTAAATATTTTTAGTAGTTAGAGTCATTCTTTTTGGCCTTTCAGAAGTAAAGAATTACCATTCTGCTGTGTGCTAGACAGACTTTAACTCTTTGCCCAATTTTAAATCTTGTAAACATGCAGTAAAAAGTTACTTTTTTAAAGAAAGAAAATGCATTTTGAAAATATTAATTTTTAACTTGATTTTGCTTGGAATATTATTTGATTTAAAATGTTGTTTCTTAGGTTATGCTGAGAATTGATTCCACTCAAAGGGTAGGTAAAGAAAATCTAAGTTGTTAAAGAAAACTAAGTAGAGTGTATTTTGAACTTTTGTTGCCCACCTTTCTTTACTAAGGGTGGGACCACAGGTACAGGCTACCCATCTGTTATTTGGGAGTCATAGATGATTTCAGAGATCCCAAATCTGTTATTTTTTTAAAGACATCTTTAAAATAGTGGTGCTTTCCA